TTTCTAGTTGTGTCCTCTTTTGGAAGGCCAAACAAAGTAGTTTGGCTTTCGCAACGAAACACACAGCATCTCCATGATATTGCGGAGGCAACAATACTACAGTGATAATAAAAGTTACGCCTACTTTCTTTGCGTATGCATTTGGGCGCTGTTATACAAATCTTCCCACACAGTGACGCAGATATGTGGGGTCGTATTTGAACGAGGCGTTTTAGGAAGGCATGGATGAGCGTTCACTTTTATAAAGAATATCTCTTTGGGTTTGAGACTTTAATCTTTGCAACTTTATGGATCTTCTGTATGCACGAACAGCTTTTAACTCTCCAAAGACAAAGGAAAACATGAAATCGCATCATATGACCCCTTTAATTCTGGAATCCTGAATTTTTTTTATTTTAATTACAATTGTTTTATTTTCTTTTACTATAATTGTTACTTTTTTATCTAAGAGTGTCCATATTAAAATAATTATTGAAGGCAAAACTGGAGTTAAGGGGCCTCTGAATATTGTTGTGGACCAAGCAGGGCCTTGGAGTCGAAAAGGTTTAGTTTGAGATCCACTGCTAGCTACACAAGTAGCTAGTATGAAAAAAGTTAATTGAAGGTCATTTATTTTATTAATGTGCAATATATTAAAATTGGTCACTTTAATTTGTTCAAATGCCTGTTTATTTCAGTTTTTTTTTTTTTGCATTCATGAATCAAGATCAGGGATCAAAGTTCCGGCCCACCAGTACAATTTTCATTATAATTCCATCCCCATTTTTGTGTCTGCACTGAAACTGAGAATGCTCCTGTTGGAAACAGTTTAATATTTGTAGTGTTTATAGTATTTATATATTTTATAGTATTTATAGTATATATATATATATATATATATATATATCAGGATTCTTTGATGAATAAATGTTTATAAGAACATAATTTATTTGGAATATAATTTTTTTAATGCTGCTGAATAAAATAAGTATTGATTTCTTTTTAATTATAGTGTTTATACAGTGTTTAATTTGCATGGTTAAAAATTTGGGTAGTGTGGGATCATATAATGCTGAATAAAAAAATCTGTCTACTGAGGCAAAACAGATCTACTGTATAGTTTATCGTAAAAGTAAAAACAGAAAAGAGAGGAAAAATAACAGAAAAGACAGGAATATGTGAGGCCAAGCTACTGGGTATTTTTGTGGACCCTAGAAAAGCAGGCCCAATGAATCGAAGCAATCAGAGAGACCCGTGAAATCCAGCCATTTATGCCGAAGCTTTCCTAAAGACTCAAGATTTTCAAAACAGATCCAACTCAATGCCCTGAGAGAAGAAACCAATCAAAATCAGCCAAACCCCTGAATGGGATCCAATCCAAGAGCCCCAGAGAAGGAACAATGACAAATCGCACTCTACCTAGATTAATATCAGAGACCCAATCACCCAGAATGCCACTGCGAGAGAGTGGCATCAGGTGGAACGCTTTAACCAGGGTCAGCCTCAGAACAAGACGCAGGCAAAGCACAGACATCAGCACTGTCACACATCAAAACAGTCAACACAAAAGCCCATTTCCAGCAATTCTGCCAAATGAGAGTATATCAGACCTGAAAGAGAAAAGAAGATTTAGCCTGACAGATGTGGATGCGTTGAACTGTGAGGAAGGTGATTAGGACAGAAGGAAGATGGATTGCAGACAGGAAGAGGAAATCCCAACTCAGGCATTCTCCTTTCTACAGTGCAAATTGTTCACTTTACAAAACAAACTTTTTTAATATCAAACGAGCTTAAAAAATCTGTCAAAAAACAAATCAGAAACTAATCTACAGCATCTTAACACAAATGAAAGTCACGAGAGTAATGTTTGTGCCTTCAGCAGCACCAACCCGATCTCGTGAGAATTTGTACGAATCGCATTCGGTTCATATGAAAGTGCTTTTAGAAGTGAGAGTGAAGGTTCACCTCTAACCCCATCCCTAAACCTAAGTTGTAGCCTAAGCAGATCATATAAAAACATACAAATGGGATTGTAAAAATTCATACAGATGTGTCACCATTTTATATTATATATATCCTGTAGTGTCATGACATTTCTCTTCAATTTCTGTCATGAGATTCTCTTAAATTTAAAGTTACTACAATCTCAATATTTTACAACGTTGTTCTCGTAAAGGCTTATAATGAGATTATTCACGAAACATTAGGATGCAGATAGATTATATATATTATATATTCTAGTGTGACACTAAAATGCCTTCATTCCTTCATTCATAAAAATCTCATTGATTTTCTCCATAGGTTTTTAATGATTACTTATAAGCCTTTAAAGATTTGGTAAAAATGACATTACACATGAATCTGCAGAGAAATATCCACCAGTTTGAGAATCGAAACAAGCAAACTGCTCCAAAAGAACTCTTTAGCATCCATTCACTCCCATGAAATCAACAGTTTTTTGTTTTTTCAAATCAAAGTTTTTAAAGGGGTCATATGATGCGATTTCAATTTTTCCTTTCTCTTTGGAGTGTTACAAGCTCTTGGTGCATAAAGAAGATCTGTAAAGTTGCAAAGACTAAAGGCATAAACACATTTCATTACACCAAATACACAAAAAAATGTTCTTTTTAGCAGCATCATATGACCCCTTTAATGTTGTGATTCACCTCATAGCTGGTTGCTTTGATTCATGGCCTATAACTCTGAAATAAATACTTTTTTTTTAAATCCCTTTGGGAAAAATACTTACAAAACTAATACCAAGGCCGCTGAAAAAGTGGAAAATAGTGAATACTTCCAAAATCAAGGCTGCTGAAAAAGTGGAAGGGCACTGTTGCACTCTGTTGTGGTTTAACAACTTCCGAGTAGAGTTAAAATTCTCTAGTTATTTGTGTGGGTGGAAACTAAGAACCAATTTCTTATTTTATTATTGTCATTAAATGATTTCTTGTGGAAGCAGAACCATTAAGGGGAATCATAATGAGAATCAATATACAACTCCCATCAATAATTATCTAAGAATGAAGAGATTGGGAATGATAATAAAAAACAGTCAGAAAACTGCTGTGTTGGATAAACAATCATACAGTTTAGGATCAACATACAAAAGTATTTTGCCATAGACTTCCATGATTGACTATGCAGAATCAAGCAATCCAGAGAAACAACAAAAATATTGCTGGATCATTTCTATACTCTCAATTCTTGTTGTTGATGTCACTGAGGAGGCGGATGGCCTTATGGAAGAATGACAACCTTCTGAATCTATACAGACTTGCATGATAAAAGACATATATATTATATATAGAAGGCAACTGTAAACTCTGCACCAACATCCATTCAACCAATCTAACTTTGCAGATATGAGATATTGCCATGGCAGCTTTTTTGGAGAAGACGAGATGACCTTTAGCTGCTACGCTGTAAACTGTAGTGAACACTGGCAAATTGGCATCAAACCTCAACAATGGCATCACTTTCACTAAACTCCACCCATCATTTCCCTTCAGTTGGCCCTGATAGGACTCACATTCTTCAAAGTTGACCTCTAGTTCCTCTGCATTCATCACACAAAAATCACCACTGGATATAGAGATCCCATCAGTACGCCAATGCCATTTTCTACTTTGGCACCATTCAATGAGAGGAAAGGAATAATAAGAAAGAATTGAAAAAAATAGGCCCTTGGCTCTCTCAATAGCGCTATTAAATGTGAGTTATCTGCTGAGTATTTCCCCTGAAGCAGGCAATGATGTTCTACAATGTCTGTTTAAAGGCCCTAAGCAAACAAACTTCTCTCTTCAGCCCAGCAGCTCAACATCAGTTCTAACGAGGCCTGACCTGGTGTGAGTTTCCCAGGCCGAATTCATTACCACCCAACTAAAGCATTTAACATGCTGTGTTGATAATGGAACCCTCCAGAAGCAGGGAAGCATCTACTACACAAATCGATATGTGGCATGGTTGACTTAAAACTTCCTGACATTTGGGATTGACGATTCCTGAAAGAGTCTTATCAATATCTGCATACAATCGAGAGTTTATACCAGAACTGCAAATGATGTTCAAGAGATGTTCTCTATGGATTGGTTTTGGGATTTCTCTGGAGACGCAGAGCTATGAAGAACATTAAGACAGATGTTATGCATCTTCCTAGTTAGTTTTCCTTTCCACTCTTTTAAATTTCCTCCAGATTCTGGCATCTGGAAAAACAGGTGGCCCAAATGGTGTTTTGACCAATTAGATATCGTCTTTGCTGGGGTGTTGTATATTTCTCCTCCCAATTCATAAATCAAAATGTTATCTCATCAGGCACATGGTCCGAGTTTTAACACTCTTGCAGAGTGTACTTTTGGACATGATTTCTATAACAACAATTCGATACATTTGACAAAGAATTGATTGGAAGAAACGTTTCAAGCAAGAAGATTCAAACACACACATACTAAACATGAATA